CTGAAATTGCAAACAGATTCAGGTATATTGTATTGTTGAGTTAAATATCACAAATTGCTGTCAGAAATATGAACAACTAACTAATGGTGAAATTTTAACAAAACAAAGTAAAATCTTCCCTTCATTATACAGTAGCGGCATTCCAGGAAAATTCAGTGCAAATTAAACCATATAAAAAAGAATTTTGTTGGAAGGCTGAGGCAGGAGGATTGCTTGGGGCTAGGAGTTTGAGACCAGCCTGAGCAACATAGCAAATCTCTAAAAAAACATAGAAAAATTAGCCGGGCAAGGTGGTACATGTCTGTGGTCCCAGCTACTCTGGAGGCTGAGACAGGAGGACCGCTTGAGCTTAAAGAGTCTGAGGTAGCAGTGAGCTATGACGATATCTAGCCCAAGTAAGAGAGCAAGACCCTTTCTCAAAAAGAGAAAAAAATATTTTTTAAAGGTTAAATGGAGTCGAGATCTAGACTCTGATAGTTGTAACTAGATTCTTCAGAACATTTGAAAGTTAGGCAAGAATCAGGACCAGTTGGCCGTATGGGACTGCCCTGCCCCTTGCGGGAGCTCTGGCATTCTTGGCTTCCTCCCACTTCACGTCAGTAGGTCCCACTCATTCTTGTCATGGACAGAAATGCCTCCCCATATTTTCAAAATGTCTCCTGTGGACAATTCTCCAATTGAGAACTGGAGACTTAGACCAATATCATGTATCTGCAAATGACCATGTCACACTGGTCACGTTAAGCAAGGTGTACTACTTTGCTAATACAGGAGAAACTTACTTGGTAACAACTGTTATAGCAAGCTCTGAAATGAGCCACCGAGACATGTTTTTGTACGGGCAAATGTAAGCTATCGTCACATGCACCTAGACACCTTTTAAGACTCCACTGGAGGAAGTACATGCTTTCAGCTTCTACCCAAAGCTATTGCTCCCCAGCCTACAAGATGGCCAGCCTGCAGGCTGCAACACTTCATGAGAAATAAAGCTCTCCTTTCCAAGCTGAGGGGAAAACAAAGATTCCAGTGGCATCATATGATTTAAAGAAATTTAAAAAATATACGTAGTTTATCATTGTCTCTGACGAACAAGAAAAAGGATCCTATTCAATGGACCAATTTTGTTTGAGCACTTTGTAGTTTCTTAGGTGAATATCTAGATATAGCTCTTTGAGAGTATGGAGAAAATTATATCTGTGTATGTGTGTGTATTTACATAGACATTTAAAAAAAAATGATTTGTAGGTAGTTCTTTCAGTTGAGCTAGGAATGAGAATTTGAAAATTTCTGCTGTCTGTAAAAAGTACTGGGCAACCAGCATCATGCATTTTAAAAGATTAATAATTATTCCTCAATTTTTAGTCTTTAAATATTTTATAACCCAAAGTTTAAGCATTATTAAGCCTTTTAAAAAATAGCAGTAACAGAAAGAGAAAAAATGCCACACTGGAATGAAAAATAGACTGCCATTTTTTTTTTTACACTTATCTATGTTGTGATTTATTCTTTTTATAGATTTTACTTTTTAGAGGAGTTTTAGGTTTATAGAAAAATTAAGTAGAAGGTACAGAGAGTGCCCAGAAACCCCCTTTCCCCACCACTCCCAAGTTATCCCCATTATTAACATCTTGCATTCCAGGGGTACATTTGTTATCACTGATGAACCAAGATGTCTTTCCATAGGTGAATAGATAAACTGTGGTACATCCAGACAATGAAATACTACTCAGTGCTAGAAAGAAATGAGCTTTAAAACCATGAAAGACATGGTTTGAAACCTTAAATGCACATTATCAAGTGAAAGAAGCTAATCTGGAAAGGCTGTTACTGTATAGTTCCAACTATATGGCATTCTAAAAGGCAAAACTATGGAAAGAGTAAAAAATATCAGTGATTGCCAGGGCTTGGGGGTTAGGGAGGGATGAATAAACAGAGCACAGAAAATTTTTTAGGGCAGTGAAACTATCCTTTGTGATACCAGAATGGTGGATACGTATCATTATACAGGAGTCAAAACACATAGAATGTACAGCACCAAGAGTAAACCCTGATGTAAACTGTGGACTTTGGCTGACAGTGATGTGTCACTGTAGGTTCATGGATTGTAACGGATACACTGCTCTGGGAGGTGTGTTGATGGGGAGGTTGTGTTGGTGGAGGGTGGAGCAGGAGGTACTGGGAACTCTGCACTTTCTGCTTAATTTTGCTGGAACCTAAAACTGCTCTAAAAATAAAGTCTATTAAAAAAAAAACCTGTAGAGCTTTCTGAAATTTAAATTTTTTAAATGATTTAGCAATAATTTCTAACCATCTTGAATTCTCTTTTTGAGTAATTAGGATAATTATAAAGAAAGAAAAGTGATTTGGGGATACTTTATTTAGTTGACTTGTACTCTTTCTGTCGTTTCTTTCATTTATTTAAAAACACTTCTATAATAGGCTTT